GCCATTGCAACAAGCATGCAGAAGCTACTCTGCAACACCACAATAGGTTGGCAACTTTGTCAACATAGCCATTAATTCCAACTGCTAACTCCCAACTGCATTTTACTTATCATTTATTGCCTTTCAGTAGATTTTGCCTATAAATAGCCATGTTCTTACCATTGTATGCATAAGTGTTTTATCAATTAATGAAGTTTCAATTCTCCTCTGTTTTGAGTTGAGTTTCTTGAGAGTCGATTCTCTTAATTTATCTCTGTATCTTAGGTCTTACCAACCTAAGTGGTGATCCTGGCAATCGAATTCATCGTAGTGGGATTTTAAATCTCACCAAAATCGGTGTTTTGGTATCGGTTCCTACGCCACATCTACCATATGGTTCAGATATACCAATGGTGTTTTACCTATCAACTGCCCAAGTGGTCAAACCCAATTAGATTGCCTCAGGTTAGCAACAGTTTGCTTATGCAAAACCTAAATAGATTATTATAGTATCATAGCAAAGATAAAGAAGACAACATACTTCAGGAACATCTTTTGCAATCACACCGTTGTCCTCCATTCTCTTATCAAATGACTGCAAAAGCAATCCAAGAACTGAGTGATCAGTAAACTAAATTGAAAAAATTCTGCTTATCTACCAATCAAACTGACTAAATGTCTCTACTGACTGCTCAACAGGAAAGTCCACGGAACTAATCAAAACCCATTGTAGGCACCTGATTTGCTTCACAGGCCACCACAGGTGGTGGCAGATTCAGGTCTAAGTTCAGACGAGATTCATCTGCACTGGTTTGATTAAGAATTGGGTTCAAATTGGCTGTTTTAGGATCATCATGGTGGGTTTCATGGCCAATTTGCTGCTGCACGCCACCAGTGCTCTTGAGTTCCACTTCTGCTGGAAAAGGAAACATGGGCGCTTGCAGTCCCTTGTGCAGTGTCAACCCCAAATTCTTGTCATCTGGCTTCAAACTGAGCTCTTCAGCGTTCCATGCAATTGGCAGAACATTTCCAAGGGCCGGTTGCATCTCTTGTTTGATGGCAGGGATGTTTGCAGCGACCTCCACATTGACATTACTGTTGTGGGCGGTTGGCCCAGCGACTGGAGTTGGCCTGGGTGCGTTGCTCCTTCTCTCGATCTCAATCCGATACCGGATTCCGGTTTCATCTTCGTCCCTGAAGATTGTGACTGCATCACCAACCTCCAACTGATTTTCGCGGACAAAGGATTTCCAACACCTAGAGATTACAGGTTTTTTGTGGCCACACGTGCGAATGGATATGCCCATAGGCCAACGTTTTGAGCCATGCCAAATGTCCACAGCCACGAAATGACCACCATTGAATGGTGGGAGCAAGGGTAACACCGTCATTGGCACGCTAAACCTGTGCTTCGTATCAGTTTTTTTCAGTTCTTTTTTGGCGACAAGGGTTGGCTCAGTCATGATGGACTTAACTAGGGTAGGTGGGAATTAATGAAACTGAAAGCAAGCTTAACTTACCCAAGTTCAAGAACAAAAAAAAAGAAAGCAAGCTTAACTAGATCGAAACAATGTACTGAAATGGGGTATGTGCCTTGGGTTTAATTACTGGAGCCTTATTCATAATTATACGGATAGCGTGGAGTCCTGTGGGGCCCGGCGCCAGGAAATCTCCTTCGATTTCCCGGGATTCACGGGCCCGCCAATTACCATATTACAATGTTAGCCAAATTCAAAATCATGCCTCTCTCATTCCCACAATCTGTGTCCCTTTATGTCTGTATGTCTTGCCACAGCCGTCGCACATGATCACAATCATGCTTAAAGTCGGTTCTATTTTTCAAAGAATATTCTTGACCTCAACTTTTACTAAAATTATATTAGTCTGGATGAAATGTTACAATTGGATGGGGACCATGACCATGCTAGGACCAAAAAGTACACGTAAGCCTGGTAAGATATTGTCCGTCACGAAAATGGCAAAAACTTATTTTGAGTTTTTCACTTTATCAAGTTAGGAGGTTTTAACTTATTATTTTATATTATAATATTTTTAATTTCTCACCTTATTTTATAGGTTTTAGCTATTCACCTATTAAAATTGAAGAAAATAACTCTCATTTTATACTAATTGTTAATTCTGTTAGCTGAAACTAAATTTTTATCAACTAATAATCAACTAATAGTTAATTAATAAAATTAACAAAATATTATAAAATTAATTCTGTTAATTCTGTTAGCTGAAGAAGTTTTTTATCAACTAACAATCAATTAATAGAATTAACAAAATGTTACAAAATAAAGACTATTCTTTCCAATTTTAATAAATGATGGCTAAAAATATTATAGTATAAAGTGAAATGTTAAAACTTTCAAATTTAACAATGTGAGGGGTTCAAAGCAAGTTTTTACCCACAGTAAACGTCAATATAAGCATGAAGTTGGTTCTATTAAGTATTTAATCAGTACATAATCATATTTCTCTATATATCATTCCGACAAGAGCAGTGCTAGTGAAAGTACATAATCATATTTTTTCTCTCTCTATATATATATACTCACGCGCAGATTCTCTCCCTTAAGGATAATAATAGACAAAAAATAATAATAATAATACAAAAAAACAAAAATCTAATTGATCTGCGCCCTTTCATTAGCTTTTCTTACTTTCGTTTCCAAAGCAAAATCCCACCTCTCGGTAGTAAACGAGGTTGCTGGATAAAACTGAAAAAATATTTATTTTAAAAGTAAAATTTT